GCTGGTTCTATATCTGCAAGGGAAATGAAACACCACATGTCCTGGAGGTAACCTGTCATGTGTAGAGGTTTCTATAGGTTACAGTGAAGTTAGCAGAGGGGATTTTTCATTACAAACTGAAATAAAATAAGTAAAACTATGTGATATTGAGAGTTCTTTCAAGCCAGTCTCCGCAAAATCGCATACCTATACAACGTGTGTTTTAATGGGAGCTTCATTTTGTTTTAAAAGTGTAGGTGGCCAGTTTGAAGGACTGGCAAAGTTCATATTAGAAGGAAGGAGCATTGGTTGGTGTCATAAACCAACTTTCTCCCAAAAGACCATCATTCAGGTCCGGTAATGGACCAGAGTTTCAGAGTTAAGTTTTCGTTTTCTGTCGTTGTTCACTGCTGGTTTTCACTCGCTTTCTTTTCAGGTTCAGGTACCCAAACTACGTGGTTAGATTCAGGAAAATATCACGCTTTATTAGACACTTTTACATGTCAGAAGCTTGGTTAAAGTCTGGCACCAAAATTACTTGGTTAGGGTTTGGGGAAAATGTCATGTGGGTTACCAGGTTGACAATTATTGTCCCGTCTAATATTATTGTTCAGCTGAAAAGGAGCACCAGTGAAGTACAGGACAAAGATATGATGTGTTCGAAATGTAATCCGGCAGAAAATATGTTTCCCTCAAAACTTTAGTGGGAATGGAGTTTGCAATTACATATTCAGAACTGTGTAGGAACGTAATTTTGTGGAGACCGAGTTGGTTCTTTGCATGAAGCTTAGGTCTTACTTACATTTCCTGCATGTGTTCCATTGATCCAGTCTTTGAGGCAGTTTAGTTGAATTATTGAGACAGTACATAAATGTAGTCTATAAAGTTGCATTAAAAAAAAAAAAAATGTGAACAATAGAAGCTGGAAACTGTCTCTGGGCTGCAGAGTCTTGGAAGCCAACAGGTTTATTGTGTCCCTTAGTTTCATCCATTTTCATCCATCCATCCATCTACCCATCATCCATCCATCCATCCATCCATCCATCCATCCATCCATCCATCCATCCATCCATTATCTTCCACTCTCGGGGGCAGTAGGCGGAGCAGGTCATTCCAGTCTTCCCTCCCCCCGGTGACGCTTTCCAGCTCTTCCTGGGGGATCCTGAGGCGTTCCCAGGCCAGCCGAGAGATATAATCCCTCCAGCGGATTCTGGGTCTGCCCCCGGGTCTCCTCCCAGGTTGACGTGTTCGGAAGACCTCCAGTGGAAGAGGAAGTCCCAGGTTGTCCAAAAAAAAATCCCAGAATAGAAACAATTAAACATTCAAACTATTAGTGCAACATAATTCATGTTTCTGCTATGCATTGGTGAGCTCAGTATGTTCACACTCACAGCTCACTACAGAACGTGTTGCAGTGTTACAAGTGAATCCGAGTTAGGATCTAAACTTTTCTGAGGCAACTTTCAGGCTGCAGGCGTTGAGGATTTTATACATAAAACAAACATTTTCATTGGAATACTCCTCAAAAATCCTCCAAGGTCTTCGGCAGACGCAGCCAAACCCTCAAAGTCTGAGCGAAATAAAGTATATTTAGCAGAAAACCAGAGTTTGAACTTTTGCGATGCAGCTAACGCTCCCGACTTACCCTGGCAGAGCAGTTAGATGGGATTACTCTTCAGCGCAAGGTCTCTCGGCGGCGGTTGATCACGCACCACCTGCACTACTAAACCCACCTGCTCTTCCCCTCTGGCCTCCAGCAAACTTATAAAAGTCAAGAGAGCAGTTCACGGCACCCTGCAGGATATGAAACGCCGACCCTGAGACCGTACTGTACGTACAGCATCATGTAGTGCATTATTAGGAAGTCAGCATTTCACAATTCAAACAAGTCGGGCCATATTTTCATACTGCTGACCTTGCACGGGTTTCCTATAATAAAACGGCCTCTCAGCTTTTACGGTCGGAGAGTTTATGCAGCCCATTGATGTAACGTTCCATTCAAGGAGAAGAGAAATGCCAAAATTGCTCTTGCAAGGTTTTGACATGACACCCGTCCTGCTCTCTGTCAGCGTGATGGCATCCGCAGTCAGCCGGAGACTTTCAAACCGGCGAATCACCTGTTTTCATTTCCATACTGCAGCAAGTCATAAGAACTTTCTAATAGAGGTCATACATGATACTACAAAAAAGACATACATGATCTGGCATATGTTGAATTAATTATCTTCCCCATGTTGCCTGTGTTTACATTCTGTTATTCCATTTGTGATATAAGAAGCGGCAGAGACGTTCTCGTTGTCTCGATACCGGGATAAAAAGTGTTGATCTCAGGTTTGCAGTAGAGGTGTCACCGGTGTTGCAGTGGAGGAGAAGATAATTGAGCTATTTTTTTTTTTTTCTATCTTTCTCATGTTGTCTTGGCAATCAAAAAGCTCTTCTGGCGCTGGTAAACACGAGGTGCCATTTACTGATATTACGTCGGGGCGGTGTGAGATACGGCAACATTTCAAGCAACCATTTTCCATTAGTGGAGGCAGAATTAGCGGGGGTCAGTCCGTGTCATTTCAGATAGCGGTGTGGCGCCGCCGTCTCAGATTCTGTTTTGTTGTTGTTCCGAGCTCTGAGTTCTGAGAATTTCTATGTTTTCAGAGACGGGAGTTTTTTTTGTATGTTCGCCCTCAAAAAGCACGTCTTACCTGGAAACCCATGTTAAGGGTTTGATAGCTGCCACAGTCAGGATATTTGTTTCCAGCAGATCTCAGTGATTGATTGGCTTAAACAGACGCCACATTCTTCATTGTTGGCACTTAAAAATGGAAGAAAGTGCAACTTTTTCAAGCAAGAGTATTATTGAGACCCCAGAAATGTCATCTAAGTGTATATACGTATGGATGCATCCATATTTCCTATTAAAAATACAGCCTTTGGTCAATATTTCACCAACTTTTAAGGCCTTTAGCATGAGTAGAATTTATTGTGTGACACGTATACCTGTGAAGTCACCAAATTTTAAGGCTGCATGAGTTCCTGGACAACCCTGTTTTTTTTTTTTTTGTTTTGTTTTGGGTTTTTTTTCGATTGAAAACGCTCACAAGTCTGACAACATGAAATTCTCAAACCTCAAAATCTGGCCACATTTATGGAGACTGAACAAAATCCAAGACATTGCATCAACATATTTTCTAAATCTGAATTGACTCAGACCGAACACTTCTAGAAAGCTTAAGTTGTTCACATGACAACGTGAATGTTCGGAGTTTGTATATTTTTTGATGTTGTGTCTCAGGAGCGACCGCTATCCAAGCCAACATCATTAAGCTAATGGATGCTGATACTGAGCAATCAGTCAGCACACCTGGCGTGTATCAGCTGTTGCTTCGTCCGGCTCTACCGCTGAAGGTGGTTTTGAAGTGAAACTAGGCTAGAAAAGGTGCTTTTGCAGTCTTTTGAAGTCACCTTCATGTTACAGGATCCACTTCAAATCCGCTGCGAGCGTGCCAAACAGAACAGGTGGCTGTTGACGGAAGAAAAGCTCAGCGTTGGCCTCATATTCTCAGCCAACTAGCTGGTTCACTGTCCTCTCATAGTGGAGCCTCCATGGCCTCTCAGCTCAAAATAAAAAAAGAAAGTAAAAAGAAATGACCTCCCCTTCCCAAAACACACAAAGAGAGACTGAAGAGTTTCTCTCTTTTCCTTCCACAGAGCATGACGAGTGCGCCAGTGGCCAAAATTTGTGTGATGAGAACGCCATCTGCACAAACACCATCAGAGGACACCTGTGTACCTGCAAGCCGGGCTACGTGGGCAACGGCACCATCTGCAGAGGTAAGCTCCTGCCCTGGAACAGCCCTCCAGACACACACACACACAGACCCGAGTCTTCCTCCGCACCCTCTGATGATAGCTCATCCTCTGCTCCATAACAACATGGTTCACTCCTCCTTCACTTCACCTAACCAGGCAGCAGCTGCCACCGAGATGATGAAAATTGATTCTGGAACAGTTTCAGCCTGTTTTCTGCACATGTGCGCCGCCTCTCCCTCCCCGCTCGCCCTGCTCCCTGTTGACCCGCCGCCCGGCCCAGGCTCGTTGCCTGTTTGGCCTCCAGAGCACCGTACAGATGGAGGGCAGAATTCACTAATTATTTTATAGAGAGTGTGTTTTCCACACAAAAATAACAGATAAACAGCACACGGTTGTATGCGAGTGCTTTGTTTTTTCTAAACCTGTGCACCCCAAGTGGTTTCTGGGAGGTTTTTTTGGGCTCCTGTCACATTTTTGTGTTGTATGAAACCATTATAACGCCATTAATATAAATGAAAACATTGTTGTCATGGAGCCATGTTTCTGTTAAAGCAGACACACAGCAGTCCCTCCAATCTCTGAGGGTTTCTTTCAGCAAACGTAGCTCGTCCAGCTTGTTGTGGAGGGAGCGGACATTGGAGAGCAGGAGGACGGTCCTGCTGGTCTGGAGCCTTTAGCCTAGCATGGATCCCGGCTCTCTTCCTCCTCCTTTCTTTACGTTTGCACCGTTTGCGCTTCCTTCTCTGTCGGGCAACTGTCGGCGTAGTCTAAGATCGGACTCCACGTTGGCACAACCGATCGCCGTAATTCCAGCGCCGTTCACTGTCCTGACGCCCACAAAGTCTCCCGGTCGCAAGTTTTGCAGAATGAACGTCTGGGATAGACAAGACACTCAAAACGTTCACTTTTGTTTGTCTCCTGAAGGGGGCGCTGCATCTATACGTACCGCCATCACCATGGCACAGCGTCATATATTTATTTTTTTACATATTGCATATAGAATCAAGTGATTTTGATGAAATAACATTTATTTTGGTTTTAAAGTCACACATGAGAATCTGAAGGACTATCAGAAAGCACAAAATCCCACACTTTTTCTTTTCTTTTTTTTTAGTTTTTATGCTTTCTGACAGATAAAAGGTATTGTCTTGGTGTCTTTTAGAACAAAAAATCATGCTTTTTAAACCCGCAGACAGTCTTGTGCTTTCGATGGTTAAATAACACGACACAGTACAGACACATTTCCAGAAAAGCACATGGGGTGCCCAGACTTTGCATACATCTGTGTATATATATGCACAAAAAAATCTAATCTCTTTGTAAAAGCCTCCATTCATCTTGATGCACAGACCATTAGAGTGAGCAAATAGCCTCCTGGCATCTTCTCCCGCGTTGTTGTGCTACAGTAAAGTACTTGCTGCAGTTATGGATTTACATTTGCTGACATTTACTGTGCTGAAACAGTAGTTCCTGGTTGCGGGCTGTCATCTTCGGGAAATGAAACAGGGATTAAATCAAAGTCTTAGAGTGCCACAATAAAAGAAAATTAATAAATCCTTAACTGGATAATTAACGTGGCACAGTTGGCATTCACTTGACGGAAGGTTTTTAAGCGTCTAGATAACATGTTCTTTGTTAAACAGAATTTCTGGTTTTGAATGAGCAGCTCTTGCCTTGATTTGAGAGTCAGGACGAGGCTTTGTCATGGAATCAGACTGTAGTCACTGCGGTCAAGAGTCCTGCTGAAATGACTGTAGGTTAGGTTAAAGCTATTTTAATGTCAGAACACTTCTTATACTTTTCCAGTGGAGCTACAGACAGTTTCTCACGGTTTTCGGTGTAATATCAGTCGTGCTGTTTGAGACCAACAGCAGCACTTCACAGGTGTGAAGGACCAGTGAAATGTCATTACAGTAGAAGTGACAGCTTTTCGAACCCAAAGTGCTGAGCCTTCAGTCGGTACATAAAGTGACAGTTCCAGCATTTTGGAGCACAGTGGTGCCTTTTTGACAGCTGCTTCACACGGAGCACAATGCCTGACAAAGAGTAGAACCGAACATTGTGTGACGCCACAACTGCATTGTGTCTAGAAACAAATGAGAGAATTCAGAGCGTCTAACTGTGAAACCTTGATGCGATTTTTTCGGAACGTGTCACAATCAATGTGACTGTCTTGCCAGTAAGCGCTGGCTTTAGGCCAGAACTCGCCAATTCAGAAATGGCATCTTTAATAAACTCTGTGAGGTCATATTATTGAACAACAGGAGTCAGTTCACTTCATGGTTTCCAGCAGGAGTGAGTTATTGCTGTTTTATTATGCCAAAGCCTTCTTCTGCTCAAGGAAAGCAGCACTTTTTATTTTTATTTTTCTTATTCATGGACTTCAACAATAAAATGGGCAAAATAAACAATAAATTACATTTTTATTTGTTTACTGGTCACGCAGAAAGCAAATTGGAAGCTTTCCGTGACATTTGTTGCTCTATTTTAGTTTGTGACCCTCTGGTGGTGTTAATGTGGGTGCATGTTTGTGGACGGCTGTTTACACGCCCTCTGACATTCCTAGGTGTGTGTGCACCAGCTTGTGCACATGCAACCCCTGGTTTTAGATGCATTCATGCACAGCCATGCACTGTATGAAGTATATTTACCTGCACATTTGCACAAAGGGGCGGCCCCACTGGGACGGCTGCTGCAGGTTCGCAGCAGATAAAACAGGACAGTCGATAACAGTCCATGTAGGGCCCTTGTAAAGTCTGAGGAGACTCGTTAGAGGGTTGGCAGCTTCTACAAGCCAGAGGAGGGTCGCAGCTCGGGGTCCCTGACGTACAACAAACACCGTGAGGGCCTGTCATCAGCGCTGCAGAAATAGGAGTGCCGTCCGGGGAGCTGGACTCGCCCGTGCACCTGAGCATTAACGGTCATGCATACGCCGGAGCCAGCGAGGCAAAGACGGAGAAAGCAGACATCAAGTCTCAGCATCTGAGCAATCAGGAAGTCTCTTGAGGTAGAACATCTTCTTGAGAAGAGACCCCTGCCACACCTGCAGCAAGACTAGATATTAGGGTGGAGTTTTGATATCCAGTTTTGTGGGGATGTTCTACGAAACAGTTGGTATTTTTAAGCTCACGTGCAATATGTCCAGATAAAATGAGCACTGCATTGCAACATACTGAGTATTTGCATACTTAAACTGATGTGAAAATAATTCATTTTGACCAGAAAAAAGCATCAACCACACATCTGAAATGCATTAACAGCAGCTCCAGTTATGCAAGTTGTTTTGCTTATGCAAACTACAAGAAGAGAATCTCTCCAAGCAATCACTGCATCACTTAAATTTGCAGTCGAAAAGTAGGAGGATGGGATTGAAAGGCAGCCCTACTTATGTCTAGTGCTTCATTTGTAAATAAAGAGATCCCTCGAGCCTGCAAGAAGCTCTTTCATGTGATTTTCATGACTGTGTGCATATGCTTGGCTGCTGTCCAAGAGATAAGACTATCATTACGCTTAATTAGGCTTTGATTTTCCAACCTACTCAAACATAATCTCAATAAACTAACTGTAAAAACGATGTTCCATCTTGGGACGTCAGCCGCCGCGAAGGAGCCGAAATCATCGCACGTGACTCACAGACGGCCTCAGTTGTTGATTCCACCTACACTGTGAGGCTGCGATCTCTGTAAAATGTTGTTTTTGTTGTCTTGATATCTGAATTTCAGGCGCACATGGAGTTCCACGCGCATATTTAACGCCGGCAGTCCTCTGTTTGCCGGGCCGCCTTTTGAGACATGTTGATATTTCACCTTATTTTCAGAGGTAGACATTAAAACGCGCTCCACTTTGACCCACTTGTCATGTTCCACCATGATTTCACGGCCATTAAGTCGTGTTCTGAATCTGCACTGCTTGCTCGTCACCATGAAAACTAATAATGTTGTAATTAGAGGGACAGGACGCAGGAAAGCAGCATGTAAGTCCTACAAATGATTAGCGATGGAAAGTGTGTCACGCCGGGCTGCAGGAGTGCAAAAGGGGAAAACGATGGATGAAGAGAAGGAAGCGAGGAAGGAGGTAAATGCAAAGACAGAGGAGGAAAATAAGAGGATAAATAAAAAGCGGTAGGTGTCACCCCCCCTGTACCCATCTGTAAAACATGCATTAGGATGGGCAGCAGGTAGGAGGCAGGTCGAGGGAGAGATCAATATAATTTGCAAAGTGCCTTCCACACAGTTTCAGCCTCTGGATCGTATCCAGGCTCATGCTACACACACACACACACACACACACACACACACACACGTACACTTGAGGAAAATATAGAAATTAAACCGCAGCGCTACCTACCGATTTTTCACTCCACAAGTCATTGGCAATGTGAAAATTATAGAACGGAGAGGCGGGTGTCTCAAACAATGTGTAGAATATAAATTATGGAACAGAAATACGTAGAAATTACTTAGCTCCTTGTGGAAAGTCTCCACTTATTCTCATGCTGGTACCTGAAATGCACCGTACGATAAATGGAAACCAGAATTACACGAGTTTACCTGCACATTACGTGGTTGGTGGACGTTTTATTCCAACCGTCAGCTTCATTATGCAGCTGTAACATGCTATGCTGGGGGTTTTTCTTGATATTTTTGCTGCAAGGATCAGCTGCTGCAGCATCAGGGATATTTCATCCCAGGATTGTCGACTAGAAGCAAGCCTGTCAGGTTCTTCTGTCCCAAACTAGGAAAAATCTCAATTGTTGTAATAAAAGGGAGGAAAATAAGGGGATGTAGCCCTAACCTGAAAAATTAGCCCCAGTCCCCATGTAGGGCAGCTAAAATGTGATCAGCCCAGGCCACTGGTGACAGCATCGGTCCTGCTCACTGATGATATTTGTCAGAAGCAGGCAGGGAAATACTTTTTAATAATGTCATTAAAACTTCCTGCGTCTTACCTATCCTACGCTGGCCAATTAGTATTATGTGAGCAGGGAGTTGGAGGAATCTGTCTCTATTTTCCCCTCCCCC